TCAGAACCGTACCTCTGCGTTTAGCTTTTCGCATAAGAAAAGATACATAACATATTTGCCTATTTCATATATTGACACATTTACCTAATATTTATAATACATGTGCCCAGCCATGTTGCTAACAGCYTCATTTAACAGCGGCAACTCTACTTGACTTGTGGTTTCAGCAACACTCCTATCAATTGCACAGTGATCAAGAATACCACATTCAATTAGTTCGCTTAAGTGATCTTACAATCAGCCAKTTGTTTTCAGTTCGATTTGATCGTTCCAAAGTTGCTGTTGTTGCCAAAATTGTATCGTCCAGTTCTTAGTTAGCTACTGGTAATCAATATTTTTCAATTAAAAATTAACAGTTGTSCACAAAAAGGAAAATGAATTACCTGAGAAAAATACCTTTACGTATGGTAAGTTAAGCAATAAAACACAACAACATATGCGTGACAACTTCATATASACAGATGATAGAAAATATGTTTAGTCTATATGTACATATACATATAAATATATATAGATCTACACATGAAAATATTATATATAAAGATGTACATATGTATGCGCATATTTTGTTCAATTAATTGAAACACAATAAAATCTCGTTGCTGTCGTCAAATAATAATTTTCATTTAGGTTGCTAACACGGTCCTGCGCCAACAGCAATGCWTGTCCAGCGGTACAGGTGCCATGTCAGCACTCACTGTCCTCACTGACGATGAGCGCGTAATGAAGGAGACCGGTGAGTAAATAATGACTTTTATTGTATATAACAGCAGTAAATTGTGTAGATGAAGGTTATCCTGCGTGYGCGTACACGTTTGTACATGAAGAGCTATGTATAAACATGTATGATAATGTATATAGAAATGTGAATATATAATATAAATATTGTTTTCTGGAATATATGTATATAGAAATAATTTTTTTTGGAGTATATACATTTTTTTACATACATACATATACCCCATACATACATATGTATGTGTGTATGTATATACATTTTTTTAAATGGTATTTTTTCTGTTGCCATAGTCGGAATCTTACATATGTATATAAATATTTAGATACTGTGTATATATGTACATATGTAGATACATATGTATGTATATACATACGTGATTGTACAAACTAATCTTGCTTTTTTGTCTATTGATAACGTTACATAACTTCCAAAATCTTAGCTGGTGCTAAATTATTATAAATACAAAGTAGAAATATGGCCACAAAAGATTTCTAGAACTTATTAAAGGGCTATCAGTGAATTTAAAATAAATTATTCTACGTTCTCTGTGGATATTCCAATGTTTTTTTTTTGGTCTTGTGTTTTTGAAATGCTGTGCACGCTCGCTATCTAAGCCGGTTGGTTATGTACAAACTAAAATGTATAAATTAATATGTATCTTCTAATACATAAAAAATATGTGCATAACTTTAAATACAGATACCTATAGCACATACATACATACCTTAAGTCCAGCCATAAAGGTAAACATGCCCACATATTTGCCTCATCATGCACATACATATGTATAGTTGATTTACATACATATATGATGTATATAAATATGTGTAGATGTACATATATGTATGTTTRTATACAGCAGCATCTATAATTTATTTGTGCTTCTAACAATTTACAATAATATAAATGATTTTCAAATTGCTCTTACTTTTCATTACCAACATATGAAATAAYATATGCGACAGGCAATAATTTTATTATTCTTTTTCCATAGTAAACGACGAAGTAATAATAATTAATATTCTAATAATTTCATTGCCRCTTTGTTTTTATTTTGTTATTCTCAACAGCCATTTCAGTTATTGCTACGCGAAGAAAAGAGGAAATAGTCCACATCGTCAAATTTAGTTAGTATTTTTCRCCGCCAGGGGGCGTTGCTAGTGTCAAGTATCTTAATAAACAAATACTTGAAGTTGGCACTGTTAGCCGAGGCCGTAACAACACTTGTAAATAGATTCGTAACCATTTTGAAGGCATGGGTTCGCATCCTGTTCCGTAGCGCCGCGAATTTTCGCCGTTTGTCGCATAATTATCCATTTCCATTTATATCATGTGTTTCCGATCTGTTGACACATTATTTGAATTTGAATTTCTCTAAATGCAAATTTAATTAAAACTCAAACATGTGTAATTGAATGAATATGGCGTAGTAAGTAGTAGGTAGCAAAATTTTAGATATTTAGTAACAGTTATAGAGAGAGCTAGTTCCTCCAACCTACGTTTGTGTTGCATTTTTCACAAGCAGTCAGCGGTTCAGATTGCATACAATAATTTGAAAAGCGTTACACTTGTGATAGAKCAAATTAAATGAACGCCGCTGTCAACGTCTCCGTGTTGTACTGTTCTAGTGCGCTGGATGTGCGTGCCTGGCATGCGGTTATGTTCGGCACTTTCCTTGAGAGTTGAATTGAGACACACATATGCGTGAGCAAGAGTGATCAGCGGCTCAATTCGTAGTTGGAAAGTTGACAAAATTATATTTATTTAAGAATTTTGAAACCGATAGCTGTAGTTGCTAAAGTTTTTTTTTMTAATTTATTATACCTATAATATTATATTTATTTATACCTATAAAATTTTATTTAAGAATTATAAAACTCAAAAAGTACGTGTTATGTAGTTTTTTTTTAAAGTGAACAGGACAAGTAGAGTAGATTTAGTAATGTCCGCCTGTCTGTTTATCTATCTGTATATAAAATAGTTCGTTTTTCCCCAGTTTTTGAGATATTGATCTGAAAATTTGCACATGACCTATTCGGCCTAAGGAGCTGCTCATTAATTGGAAACAAGTTCTTGTATGTAAAACTTTTTTATTTCTCAAGCTATCTTCACAAAACTTAGTATAGACTATTATTTAAGACACCTGCATAATCGCCACAGAAGTTGTTCAGATCAGACTACTATAGCATATAGCTGCCATACGAACTGAAGCATCAAAAACAAGTTCTTGTATGGAAAACTTKTTTCTTTGTCAACGTATTTTCATAAAATTTGGCGTGAAGTATTATCCAAAGTATCCCCACAATACCCGAAGAAATTGTTCAGATCGAACCACTATAACATATAGCCGTCATATAAATTAAGCGATCRAAATCAAGTTCTTGTATGGAAAACTTTTTCATTTCTTAAGATATTTTCACTAAATTTGGTCCAGACTATTATCTAAAAAAAAAACAGATAAATATCTAAAGAAATTGTTCAGTTCAGACCACTATATCATATAGCTGCCATACAAACTGAACGATCGGATTCAAGTTTTTGTTTGTAAATTTATTTATTTGTAAAGAGTATTGAAGTYTTTTTTTCTTGTTTTAGTTAAAAATTGCGATTAACTGTAATTACGATTTTGTACATGCATGAGTCCTCAGTATTTCAGGTACTGAAAGGAAAGCAAACACKCTTTGTCAGGTTATCTTGATCGACAATCGCCTTCATAAAAGAAAAAGTTAATATATGTATACTACATGTATGACTACACATACACATGCTTATAAGTACACATATCAAAAAAAAAAAAAAAAAAAATAGTGTTAAAACGTATTTCAAAAAAAAAATTTAATCTAAACTTTTATAGCTCGTTTTGAGCTCAAAAAACTGGTTAGTCCAAATGCTATGTTTAATTTGAATAAATTTTTGGATCATTGAAAAACTACACCGTTTGAAGGTTTAGCAAAAAATATGTAGTTTTGCATTTCAGGTCCGAATATACTTTATCGGATTTCCGCTAGTTCCTGCTGGGCGTTAAAAACTTCGTGGTTACCTTATTACACCCTGTTTAGGGTATAAAAATTCTCACAGATATGCTACAAATGTTTTGTCGTTGTTATTGTTCTYATACACTTGTCCGTCAATTAAACATCGCTAAAGCGAATTTCAGAACTGGTCCGAACGCTTCGCAAAGCTGTTTGTTATAATTACACACACATTGCGGTCTATTTATACTTGTATCGTATTCGTGTATGCATACAAGTGCCACATCAATAGAAATGCTAAATTATATTATACATATTGATCTACACATACACATATGTATATATGTATATAGCATATGTGTGTACMTAAATATTTATGAATATAAATATAGTCAACAAAGCAAGAAGCTATCTAATCAGTTTATGTGCCAACATATGAGTGTGTGTTGRTATAATTGGGCAAAAGAAAATAAGATACCAGACATACATATGTACATTCGTGCCTTTTTTATGAAATGCGCGATTCACTTTTCTTTGAGTATATAGTGAGTTGTCGCCAAACAAGTACGAATACAGAACGCTTTTTTATGATTTGGAAACAGCTTTTACAAGCCTTGACTCGAGAGTAACTGATCTGAAATACTACACGTTTGGCAATAGATGCGCTTAGTTGTTCGTGTGTATTCTTTAAAACACAGCTTTTTTGTCAATATGTGTAAAAAAAAAAAAATAATAAAAAAGTTCGGTTGCTTCGAAGCAGGAATACCCTTCACAAATAATGAGGTTTTCACAAAGTTGAAGAAGAACTTGTTTTTGATCGTTCAGTTTGTATGACAGCTACATATATGATATAGTCAACTGATCAGGAAAATTTCTTAGAATATTTGAGCGTTCATTTTGTATGACAGCTATATCATATAGTGATCYGATCTGRRGAATTTCTTTGGATRTTATAGGGCTGCCTTAAACAAATATTAATGCCAAATTTAGTGMAAATATCTTTTCATAWAAAAAAGTTTTTAATTCAAGAACTTAATTTTGAGCGTTCAGTTTGTATGACAGCGATATGCTATAGTTGTTCGATCTGGAAAATGTTTACAAATATTATAGCATTGCCTTAGAAAATAATCCTTGCCGAATTTGGGGAAGATATTCCGTCAAATAAAAAAGTTTTTCATACAAAGACYTAATTTTKAACGTTCAGTTTGTATGACAGCGATRTGCTATAGTAATTCGATCTGGCATATTTCTTTGGATATTAAAGCGTTGTCTTAMAAAATAATCCTTGYCTTGTTTGGTGAAGTTATTTCGTCAAATAAAAAAGTTGTTCATACTAGAAWTTATTTTTGAYCGTTCACTTTGTATGACAGCTATACGTATGCTATACTGGTTCGATATCGGCGGTTCCTTTAAATGACCAATTTCTTGGGTACGACAGAAAATTTAAAGCGAATTCTCAAAAACTATATTTTTTATAGGGTTTCAGTCGGATCTTCCTAATGGTTGTTACAAACTTCGTGGCAAGCGCAACACTATACCCTGTTCAGGGCATAAATATTTTTGTGGTAGTTACCTGATATTTATCACTTGTTATTTATTAGCTATCAAAAAGTGTGTATGTACATATGTATATATATATGTGTGTATACTATATATGGTATTATAAAAGCTTCATGCTTGGATTTAAATGTGTACCATAACGTGATGAGTTTCCAACAATGTATGCACACATACATATTTACGTAAAAGCATTGTGTATATCATATACATATGTATATGAACTTGAGAGAGAGTTTGCCGCTCACGTTTACCGTATTAAAGGAGGTATGCCCAGCGCTGAGCTACAAATATACTAGATATGTATGTATGGTGTATACTATAGATACAAAATGTGGGCTTGTCTGCTGAGAGCAGCATATGACGTGACACGATCAGCTCATTCACGCGAAACTTCGTTTGATGCTATTGACTATTTTCATATTATATGCATTTATTACTTGTTTGTTTTCATAATAAAACTGATTCATATGCATACGTACATACTACTGACGGTAGTTCCGATTCTATTTACATTGGAATTACTTGCGTTTCAATTATTTATTTACTATATTCATAAATTCAAAAATTTTTGTGCAAGACTACATATCATAGCGAATTTGACACGTTCTGATAAAAAAAAAATATAATTTTCATGCATTTTAATACGAATCTGTATTAAAAGGCTATAAACATAGTCTCCTTTTGAGCCAACACAAGCTTGAAATTTGATCCAATTTCCCATATACTTTTTATAAGCTTTCAGAGCCTTTAGCGAATGACTCATGTCGCGCTTCCCCGAAGCGAATTTTTCAGTTTCGAAAACAGTAAAAAGTTACACCGAGCTAAATTTTGACTCAGCGATTGGCGTTCATTTCGTGTTTGGCCAAAAAGTCAGTCATCGTGCTAGAATGTTATGTCGTTATGCAGTTGGTTCTTCCATTGGAACCTTGGCTGCCGTTGCTTTCGTTGTTCACCTCTAGATCTCGAATCAAAAACGCTTTTTGCTGGAGCATCATTTTCCGTTCCGGACGACAAGGTCTAACCAGTTCATTCGTTAAATTTTTATGTCGCCGCAGAACTCATACTACTCGTCTTTTTCGTCGTTGTCGTTATTTACAACTCAAATGATCAATCCGTTGAGTCTAATTTTCGATGACTCGTTCGAGCATTTCGACTGGTAACTAGCGCATGACACGCGTGATGTTTTGCTCTAGGGCCTGGATCRAAGCGGCATTGTCCGCATAAACTTTAGACTTTACATATCACCTCAGAAAAAAATCGAACGGTGTGATATCACACGATATTGGTGGTCAATGGACCGGCCCAAAACGTGAAATTATTTGTTCATCGAAGTGTTCTCTCCATAAATCCATTGAATATTGCACCCAAATGTCGCTGAGTTCACGAGCTTCAATTTCAGGCATCAAATAGTCGGTTATCATGGCAATGATAACAGTTGTCATTGATGGTTAAGTGCTCACCGGCATCATTTTTGAAAAAATATGGGCCGATGATTCCACCGGCACCACACCAAACCTTTGATTTTCTGGATAAAATGGCAGCTTTAGAATTTCTTCAAGTTCCTCTTCGTCCCAAATGCGACAACTTTGCTTGTCTACATTCCCATTGAGCCAGAAATGGGTTCACCGCTGAACAAAATTTGGCTCGAAAACGTCAGGTCTTCTTGGAATTTTTCAAGAGACTATAGAGCGAAGCGATGTCGCTTGAGAAGGTCGAGCAGCATCAAGTCTTGCACATGCTGTATATGTACGCTTGATGTGATATAGTTTGTTCGATTCGCCACTCTCCAGCGTTTGGAAAATCGAAGAAAGCTGTTATATATATTAATATTTCTAAGCTTTTTTGTATCTCACGCATTTATTATGTTTCATGCTTCCACTTCTTTATTAATAAAAATAAATTTATGTTTCCCATTAATTTTTAGTTGCCAAATTGGCTCAAGAACAAATCGCGCCRCTTGTTAAAAAAATGGACGAGGAACACAAATTCGATCCCTCAGTGGTGCAGGCAGTTTTCGAGAACGGTTTAATGGGCATTGAGGTTGATCCAGATTTGGGCGGCAGTGGTTGCAATTTCTTGACCACCATACTAGTTGTCGAAGAGCTGTCAAAGGTTGACCCGGCCGTTGCTGCTCTCGTTGATATCCACAATACTTTGGTTGTCTCTTTAATGATAAAAGTCGGCAGTGAGGAGCAGAAAAAGAAGTATTTACCGAAGTTGGCGCAAGAGTATGTGAGTATTGTGTTTAAAATACAATAAATAAGTTTATGTCACTGATAATAACTCAATTATATGACAGATTAAATATTTACAAATCACGACAGACACACGTTTGATTAAAAAGCTTTATTATAGAATAAATATACAGGAATGATAGAGTACATACTTAATGAACAGRTGTTAAATATTTACTATACGTAATAGCATGATCCATATTGCAAATGGGAAAATGTTGTTGTGCTATGGTAGAGTCAATATCTTAGGCAATATAGCTCAAGTAGTTAAGCTGTCAATTAGAAATTGTAAATTAAGCGTATAACGGGCTTGTAAATATCAATACTTGTAAATGTATTGGGTAGTCGAAAAAGACTTTTCGTATTTCTAATCAAACTTCAACTTGTTTTTTGCGTTTCTAGCCTGGCAGCTTCGCTTTGACTGAGCCGGGTGCAGGTTCGGATGCATTTGGCTTGAAAACTGTTGCCAAAAAAGACGGCAATCACTACGTGATTAACGGCACAAAAATGTGGATCTCAAATTCCGATGTGGCCGGCGTCTTCCTTGTCTTCGCTAACGCCAAACCAGAAGCGGTAAGTGAAATCATTAACTACTGCCAAAGTGAATACATAGAATTTGTTTTTTTAAATATATATTTTTAATTTATCTCGCCCTCAGGGCTATCGCGGTATCACCGCATTCATTGTCGATCGCGATACACCCGGTCTAATTGTGAATAAGCCCGAAGACAAACTGGGCATACGCGCATCTGGCACATGCATGATAACCTTCGATAACGTACGCATACCCGAAGAGAATTTACTGGGTGAATTCGGTCATGGCTACAAGTATGCTGCTGGTTTCTTAAATGAGGGACGTATCGGTATTGGCGCACAAATGGTGGGACTCGCGCAAGGTTGTTTCGATCACACCATACCTTATCTCCTGGAACGCAAGCAATTCGGCAAGGAGATCTATGATTTTCAATCCATGCAACATCAAATCGCCACGGTGGCTACCGAGATCGAAGCGGCACGTCTGCTCACCTACAATGCGGCACGTTTGCAGGAGCAGGGCAAACMGTTCCTCAAAGAAGCCGCCATGGCCAAGTTCTTCGCGTCAGAGGTGGCGCAACGTGCCACCATCAAGTGCATTGACTGGATGGGTGGCGTCGGCTTCACGCGTGACTTCCCACAAGAGAAATACTATCGTGATGTTAAGATTGGCGCCATCTATGAAGGTACTACCAACATGCAGTTGAGTACAATCGCTAAAGTGATCAAGAAAGAGTACGCCAAGTAAAGTAAATAGAAAGAAAATGTTTGTTGTTGTATGCCAGTTAAAAGGCAGGTGCAATATCGTAACAGAAAACTATAGTGCATTTATTAGTGTATTGTTTGTGTGATGCTGCAAGCTCAAAGTCATGCGCTCAATACCAGATTAACTTGTATATATATATTATTATATATGTAGGTAACGTTGAAAGCAAATTTTTAAAAACTATTTTTATACAC